TTCTTAATCTGGAGTCTCACCCTGTCACCCAGGCTGGAGTGCAGTGGCGCAATCTTGGTTCACTGCAACTACCACTTCCCAGGCTCAAGCGATTCCTCTGCCTCAGCCTCCTGCGCAGCTGGGACTATAGGTGCATGCCCCCACGCCCGACTAATTTTTGTATTTTTAGTAGAGACAGGGTTTTGCCATGTTGGCAAGGCTGGTCTCGAACTCCTGACCTCAGGTGATCTGCCCACCTTGACCTCCCAAAGTGCTGGGATTACAGATGAGAGTTACCATGCCTGGTCATCAGGAGGTATTTTCAACAGTTCAGCTAAGGGATTTAAAAAGTCTTAACAAAGATGAGAAATGAATTTGAATGACATGGCAAAGCTAAGATCAAATGACTATAATAACCAGCTGGTTATGGGCTTCTTATACCAAAACAAAAGCTGAAGAGAGTGCTTGGGTAATTGGCATGAGGTGATGACCCAAGAATGTAAAACAAGAGGCAGACTGGGAAGACATATGATGAATGTGGTCAGGTGCCCGGGAGAGCAATATCAGTTTGTTATAAGCATGCTCAGGCCAAATTGCAATTATAAACACAATTGTTTCTGTGAGATCTTCAAAACCAAATCATCATAAAGTGCCTCACTTTGTTTGTTTTGTTTTTTGTTTTGAGATGGAGTTTCACTCTTATTGTCCAGGCTGGAGTACAGTGGCTCGGCTCACTGCAACCTCTGCCTCCTGGGTTCAAGCGATTCTCTTGCCTCAGCCTCCCTAGCAGCTGGGATGACAGGGGCACGCCACCATGCACAGCTAGTTTTTTTGTATTTTTAGTAGAGGTGGCATTTCACTACATTGACCAGGCTACTCTCGAACTCCTGACCTCCAGCAATCCACCTGCCTCGGCCTCCCAAAGTGCTGGGATTACAGTCATGAGCTCCCGCGTTATGACAATGTTAGAAGCCGGTCCAAAAATTCCATAGGCATGTGATCTATCAAAAGTCATGTAAATAACTAGTATTTCTCCCAGCTGTGTTATGGTCTCCTATCATCCATCCTCAAATTTACTTTCTATAGTCATGTCCCACTCTTGGTTAACTACAACTTCCACTTTAAATTTGTTAATTATGTTTAAATGATCACATAATAAAATTACATCACAATCGCTGTATTCATGTTATTTCTTTTATCTGAAAAGTCCTTAATTTCCATCCAAGTTTATAAATCTTTAAAGAATCAACCTAAATACCAGCCTATCTTAAAACCTGCCATTATGAGGCTAATTGTACATGTTCACCTTCTTCTTTTTACGTCCCATGCCACTCTATACCTCTATTTTGCATCAAATCCTTGTGTAATTACCATATCCCTCTTATGCAATTATAAGCTCTTTGAGTACAGAGACAGTGTATACTATACCACTTCATTTCTTGCCCATAACAGGAACTTTTTTTTTTTTTTTTTTGAGACAGAGTCTTACTTTGTTGCCTAGACTGGAATGCAATGGCATGCTATTCGCTCGCTGCAACTTCTGCCTCCTGGGTTCAAGTAATTCCTTTGCCTCAGCTTCCCGAGTAGCTGGGACTATAAGCGTGAGCCATCATCCCCGGCTAATTTTTGCATATTTAGTAAAGATAGGGTTTTACCATGTTGGCCAGGCTGGTCTTGAACTCCAGACCTCAGGTGATTCACTCACTTTGGCCTCCCAAAGTGCTGGGATTACAGGCGTGAGCCATGGTGCCCACTCCATAACAGGTATTTAATAAACTAAATTAAAATCAGGTATCTGCCAACACCCATAAATTATATTAAAGTAGAAAAGTTCAATGGGAGAATACAATATTTGAATGAATAGCTATCTTGGAAATGATACACAGTTTGAAGGGAACAATATAAGATACTAGATTAGGGCAATGCTTCTCAAACTTTAATGTGAGTAAAAGTCACTTGGGTGAAAATCTTATTAGACAGATGCCCCAGAGAATTTGATTCAGTAGGTCTGGGGTAGGGCGGTGAATTTGCATGTCTAATAAATTCCCACATGCTGCTGATGCTACTGGACAGTGGACAATATATTGAGTAGCATTAGTTGAAGGAGAAAGCTTGACGTCGTAATGCCTGGACTTAAATTTCACCACTACAATGTACTGACTTTATAATCTTAAGTCACCAAATTTCTTTAAACCTTACTCAACTTCCTTGCTTCTAAAATGGCAATAATAATGGAACATCTCGGGACTGTCATGATAAATAACTAAGCCATAAAGCATGCTTCTCGTAGTACCTAACACGTAGCATGTGTTCAAAACTTAGGTGTCAGTGGGAATAGTTAATGGTACAACTAAGTCAACAGATTCCTAAAGAGCAGTGGTCATTAAACTATGGCCTGCAGGATATATCTGGCTCGCTGCTTGTTTTCGTAATGCTGGTGAATTAAGAATAGTTGTTTTTTGTTTGTTTGTTTGTTTTTGAGACAGTGTCTCTCTTGTTGCCCAGGCTGCAGTACAGTGGAACAAACACAGCTCAGTGTAGCCTCCTCTACCTCTGGGGCTAAAGCAATACTCCCACTTCAGCCTTCTGTGTAGCTGAGACCACAGGTGACACCACCACACCAGGCTAATTAAAAAAAAAGTCTGTAGAGGTGGGGTCTTGCCATGTTGCCCAGTCTAGTCTCAAAATCCTGGCCTCAAGCAATCCTCCCACAGTGCTGGAATTACAGGTGCAAGCCACCATACCCAGTCCTAAAATGTGTACTTTAAGGCTCTTTACATTAACAGATTGTCACCAAGTGGTGACTTTATCCGTAAATTATTAAGATTAGAACCATCAATATTTCTGTTATCTCCATTATCTGACAATAATGTGCAGTGGGTATATAGTTTATAACGTAGCAGTCGAAAAGTAACAAAGGATTCTTAGAAAACAGATAATACAAAAAGAACTTGGAAATGAGATGAATTTGAGGGATAAGAGGTAAAATGTGATAATTAATATCAAAGCTCCTCTAATCAGAAAATGCTGTCAGATGTCCCAACCCACTTTTTAAAAACTCGATATTTATTGTCTTTTTTCTGATTATAAAAACACATTTATAGTATTTGGAAAATACAAAAACATATACAGAATATAAATCAATTCCCAGTACTAGAGGTAATCATGTTTAAACATCTTCACTTTTATAAAATTGGGAATGTTACTGTACAAAATGGTTATTTTTTAATGTGACATTTCGCCAAAATTCACATATATTATCTGAGAACATTGTGTTCAATAGCTAATGACGTCCCAATTTTTAGAAATGTTTTCATGATTTATTTAATTATTACCCTCATCAATTGATCTTAGGTTAAGGCTTTGTTATTATTTCTAAATAATGCTAAAATAAACAAGCTTGCTTATAATATTTCTGCATATCTTTGATTTTTTTTCCTGCTACAAGTCACTACAATAAAAATATTTTCTAAATTTGTGTTGCTTTCAAGGGAAGCAGAAGAAAAAGACTGTAGACAAGGGTAATGATAATTAAACAGTCTCTCTCCTCTCTCTCACTCTGGTTTTGCAGATTTCCAAACCACACCAATTTTGGGGAGTTCTACCTAATAATAAGTAATATTAAATGACATGTTCTCTTTTACCAGTCATCATATTTTTTACAAATCCCCCTTCCTAAATCCATACCATTATAATCAGGAAAACAAAGGTCCCCCTTCCCTTAGAAAAAAAGGCAATAATCTTATCAAAAATATTTTATTTACAAAAAATTAATTATACTATACATCCTATACTGGAAATACATTGAATAATTGCTAAAATAAATACAGGCAATTAATTCAACTTTTTATAAGAATGAGAGAATTTGACATTTGAATGTTATCAAAGCTTAACTTAGAACATAAATAGTTAAAAAGGCAAACTCAAGTTTTAGTTTCATTTATTGGCATGGTGCATTTGTTTCCCACAAGCTCCCAAATCAGTGAGAGTCTTGAGTTTCAGAATATGTACCTTTTTGTACTCTGAAGATAGAATGTGCAGCTTTTTCTTAGGCAGGATAGATGTAACATAGATGACTGTATAAAAAAGAGGCAGAAAGGCAGGAAACCCATCGTTTAACAATTCTCCATGTGTCTCTGCCTCACCATAATGCTGTTTATTCAATTATTCATATATTCCAATGATTGTGTTTTCTACACATGTCTACACAGCACCAGCTACAAGGCAAGGTCAATCGTGTAAAAATTAAAACTGGATAATGGAGATACTGTAGTAACTACATTAGCCAAGTTGAGAGTATTTGGCTCAACAATTTTTATATGTGCCAATTATTGATATACTTATTAAACCTTGATATCACTTCTACTGTGTAGACATTTTTATAGAGGCCCAGAACAGGAAATAGGAAGCAATGATCTGTATAATTGAGAAAAACAAAAGTCCTCATTTGAAAGTAAAAGAGGATAGATGTTTGGTGCTGACATCTGCCAATTTTGAATTTATATGTTTTATATTTATAATTTATCCAACTCACCCATGTAAACATCATACAAACATGTAAAGTGAACTGGCAAGTTGAAAAAATAAAAAAAGACAGGCAAAACATGTTCAATGTATAAGTAGGATCCAGTAAATTCAGGCCACAGAACAAAACCTTTGATAAACTGCATTGTACGTGTCCAAATTATACAGATAATTTCTCCACTTTCCACTTTACTTGGTCTGGGAAAACACTGTCAGAATCTCCAAAAAATATTCCTCTTTGATATTCATGTTTTGTCCAGTGATGGATGCCTACTGTTTTCTTTCAAAGACTATCATTCCCTTTTTAAAAAAATCTTATGAAAAAATTGCACTACCTTTGGCCTTGATTTTCAATGATTTTTTTTTTGTACACACAAAAGTATGTATTTTTATTTCTAAAGTATGACAGGTATATTGGCCTTTTCTAAAAGAAATAAAAACAAAAGTTAAAATATTGAAAGTTTAAATACTTTTTTTCACAGAAATAAACTATTCAATTTTAAAAGGTAGAGAGAGAGAAACATTTTATTCTTTCTATCATGAACATCAGTCAACCAAACTTCACATTTTGGGCAGGATTTTTTAAGTATAATTTTTTTAAAGAACTTATTTTATTTAAAAAAGGAAGAACAGGTTTATTTTCTCAGAGAAGTAAAACATAGAATATGCAAAATTTGTCTTTAAGATTGGCATACAGAATTTAAAAACACAGTACAATTATATCAAAATAGAGCACAGCCAACGGCCTTTAAAACTTCCTTTGGCATTTTATTTGGTAAAGTTAAAAAGAAAATCCTTCCTAAAAAAAATTATCTATCAAAACAGTCCATAAGTTAGGTTGTATAGGTTGAAAGAACGTTTCCTTGAGTTTCCAAAATCCTTTTCTTCCATGATAACCCACATAAAGCATGGCTAGTGAGGTATATAGGGCAAAACACTTTCAGGCGGATGCACAGTAAGGAAAAAGTGCATAAACAAAGAATTCATCCCATTTTCATAGAAATAACAGGTTAAATCTGAGTTTCTTCTTGTTGATGTATTGTTTTACTTTGGCAGAATGAAAATAAACCCACATAAATGTCTTTGTTCAAGTCCCAGCAGCAGTGATATGTCTCCTTTGGTGGCACTATCTGATGCCACAATACTGTACAGCCCCTAGAGGAACTAAGGTGTTGTGTGTGACTGCAAACGTCAAACCATGGAAGATCATACATCAAGCACCATGTCATACTGTTGTCCCTTCTTCCGCCTGCCACACTTATTGATGAGAACTACATACAGCGTCAAAAGCATGACCCAATAGCATGCATAGAGCAACGTTCCAACAATTAGAACTGTCTGTTTGGATTCTGAAAATGGCCTTTTAGATTCCTTATAAATGGTGAAAATCACACCACCCAGGAGGATTGTAAACCAAACTGATACTGGAATGAGTCCTATGAAATTAACAACAATGGTTTTCCTTCCTGATGTGCCCCACCCAGCTTTGTTTATTGTTGCAATTGCAAACATCTTGGCAGGAAGTAAACTCGACATGTATAACACTGAGTAAAGAGACATGAAGACCATGACGATATTTCCTCTAAGGCAGCTGGCAAAAGATGATTTTATGAGTCCTACTAGCTGGACAGTTAACAAGAAGAGGAGGATGTTCCAAATTTTACCCCGGTAGAAGAGCTGGATTACTGTGGCGATGAGAAAGAAAGGAAAGAATCCAGTGATAATCGCTTCGTAGGTCATCCACAAGTGATGTTTGTGAAACCACATTGCATTGTACAGCCATTCTCGGAAGTAGGACTTGCTCCAACGGGTCTGCTGGTTTAACCATCTGAGATATTCTATAGGTGTTTCAGTAAGGCACTTAGATCGAGCTGTGTATTTTGTTGCATAGCCCAGGCTCAGCACCCGGTTCGTTAGATGCCTGTCATCACCAAAGCTACATTGGTTGCCCATAAATTCTTGATTATACCAATCTTCCACAAACTCATGCAACAAGGAGTTTCTGTACATTCCCAGAGGTCCACTAATGCACTGGACACACCCAAAATAAGACTGACAGGCCCTTTCTATATTAAAGGCCATCCAGTATCTCACACTGCTGAGGAATGAGATCCAGGAATCATACTTGTTTAAAATCTGCAAGAAGAAAAACATAAGAAAAAGGTAAGCTTTAGCTAAAAATTCCAGCAAAACTTGCTCCATCCTAAGGTTACTACCTGAAGTAAGATTTGTTATTTGATCCTCCTATTTTGGCTTCCTTCCTCTTTTTGGCATGGTTATTTTATATTTTCTCTGATTCTCTGATGCTGTTACTAATTTGTTTAGTTGTATGCATGTGTTGTGATTCTTTGATGGTGAATATTTTTTTTCTACTTCATCATTCTCTATCCTCTTTTTGCTATTCTAATTCTGTTTGTTGTGTTATCATACTGAGATGATATTTATTTATTTAGAGATGGAGTCTCACTCTGTCACCCAGGCTGGAATGCAGTGGCACCATCTTGGCTCACTACAACCTCTGCCTTTCGGGTTCAAGCAGTTTTTTTCCTGCCTCAGCCTCCCGAGTAGCTGGGACTACAGGTGTGTGCCACCACACTCGACTAATTTTTGTATTTTTAGTAGGGACAGGGTTTTGTCATGTTGAGCAGGCTGGTCTTGCTCCTGACCTCAGGTCATCTGCCCACATCAGCCTCCCAAAGTGCTAGGATTGCAGGCATGAGCCACTGCACCCAGCCATATTGAGTTTTTTTTAAGGCTTTAGTTCTCAATCCCTAAACTCTTTTCCCAGGCACTCTTTCATAACATCTAAGATTTGAATGTTTTACGTCCCATCTCTCCTGTGCGCTGGTTGATTTCAAATTGATCCTATCCTTGGCTGTTGATTTTCCTCTCCTTTATCCAAGCTTTTGCAATGCCAGTGATAGGAGAGTTTCCCATGGCCTTCCTGCAAAATTTGAATCATGAAATAATGCTTTATATACAGGCTATTGAAAATTATCAACTTTTCTTGGCAATATTTCTAAATTCTCTTATCTGTCTCAATTTTGTTCAGTTTTCATCTGGATTTCACAAGCTTTCTTTAAAAGAAAAAAATCACCAGGCTATTTCTTTGTCCCTTCTAATGTAATTTATTTGCCTTTACTATCAACCAACACATATAAAATGGGTTATACAGCAGGATAATATCCAAATTTTGAAGTCTGTTTTCCATGTCCTATCTTACCTTTTACTAAAATCTAACCTCATATTTGCAAGGGAATCTTATTTTAATCTTCACATATTTTCACATATTCATTTTTCCATCCCACAAACATCAAATTACCTCCATTAATATTTGTTTCATTAACTGTTTCTTCATCAATTACACATGATGGACAATATTGGAAAACCACTTATCCATTCTTTGCCTTTCTCACTAGTATAAATTTGAGTCACTATCTTTTTTTGCTTCCTTTGTTTTTGACTCAGATTTTTTTTAATCAACCACATACTGATCATCCTTTAAGTATATAGGTACAAGATATATGTCAATTTCTTACCATACTTCTATTTCTTTTCTTTTTTTTTTTTTGAGACCAAGTGTTACTCTGTAGCCCAGGCTGAAGTGCAGTGGCATGATCTCAGCTCATTGCAACCTCTGCCTCCCAGGTTTAATAAATTCTCCTGTCTCAGCCTCCCAAGTGGCTGGGATTACAGGCACACCCCACCACGCCCAGCTAACTTTTGTATTTTTGGTAGAGACGGAGTTTCACCATATTGGTCAGGCTGGTCTCAAACTCCTAACCTCAGGTGATCCACTCGCCTCAGCCTCCCAAAGTGCTGGGATTACAGGCATGAGCACTGCACCTGGATCATACTTCTATTTCTTAATCCTTGTAACTAAATAATTTTTAGCAGAACATGAAATGTTAAGTTATGGCCCAAAGATATATGGTGGCAATCATTACATATTTATTTTAAGTTGCATATAACTTATTAGCTGCTGCAGAAGTGGGTTATACCCCAGGACTATGCAAGACAATTCTAAATTATTTCAGTTTCCATAGGAAAAGAGGCAGTGAAGCAGATCCAAGGCACATTTTAATGTGTCTCAAACACCAGGAATAGTACCTGGCACAGAGTTGGTGTGTAATAAATATATGTTCAATGATTCAATGAGTAACAGTGCTCTTAAAAGTGTTTTGTGCAAAAAAAGAAAAAGAAAAAATGAAGCCATGTACCTGGACATCTCCCCCAACACCTCCAACCATGGGATCTTCTTCTAAAACTTTTACCATTTCCACAGATGAGGCTGGGTCAAGCATAGTATCTGAATCACAAACCTGAAAAGAAGAATGTAAAAACTAGGTCAAAGGAAGAACTATAAATACATTCCCTCTAGTCAAAATTGGGCATACATACTGTGTCCTCATCTTACTGCCACAAGGCCTCAGTAAGCAAGTATCATGGCGATAACAGAGGGCTTGTTATATCATGGCCAATACAAAAAGCCTATTTTTCAGCAAACTCAATATTTAAGTTAATGACATTGCTGGGTAGAACAGCTGAAGTGATGTGTCAAGTATGACTTGTAGGGTGATCAACTTGTCCCAGTTTGCCATAGATGCTCCCAATTTTGTCAATGAAAGTCTCACATCCCAGGTAACCCCCCGGTCCTGGCAAACTAATGGCTGTTCCCCCTAGAGGTCTGTTTAAGAAAAAAAAAAAAAAAAAATCCCAGTTAACTTCAATAAGGCTTTTAGGCTTTTTTGTCTTTCAGGTCTGAATGATAAGAAAATTTTATGACATTATTGAAAGGGAGATATAGTTAATAAGGATTTTACCTTTCATTTTAATATAGTAAATAAATAACAGGAGAGCAGTTCTCCTACATATGATTGTATAGTTCTAAAGCAATAGTATAGTTCTAAAGATTGTATAGTTCTAAAGTCCATGTGATCTGGGCTGAGCAAATGACATTGCATCAGGAAGGGGATTTGGAGGACCTTCAACACCTTTTTATTCTAAACTATTAAGTGTTCCTCTAGCCCTCTGAATTTAAAAGTAGAGGGGCCCATTGTTGTTTTTAAACTATTCTAGAAATGCCCATTGTTGTTGTTAAACACAATCTTTCTATAAGGCAAAAAAAAAAAGCAAGTCTGAAACCAGACCAATCACTTCAAAAAAATTGTTGGAATTAGTTTATAACTGTGTATTCCTAATAGACACTTCTATTGGAGGCTCAAGAGCAAAGGGCTACCTACTTGCTTCTCCTTCCAGCCTGATTTCCAAATCAATTGAAAAATTAAACAGAAGAATAATAAAGCAAATACAAAACCAAACTATTACTTTTATACTTACAAAGCTGATATGGAGAATGGAGCTTTATATGTGGAAAAGTGGGCTTCCTAATTCCATTTCTCAGAATTACTCAGTCGTGGAGACTTTACTCAGACCAGAGACTTCACCCTCAGTCCCAAAGAGACTCTAAGTGGGACTAGCTTCCTGAAGATAGTCTATGTCCCTCCAAAAGGTGCAGCTGATACTTGTTCCTGGGGTTTGCCCACTGCCAGAAGCCAGGGAAAAAGAACTGGGCTTCCCCTTATTCCTTCCATACTCTCTAATAAGACTAAGACATTCCTTTTCTCTTGGGAAAGGAGTGAGATAGCTGGAAAAGGCTGGATGGCTTATACCTGATGATGCAGCTTTCTCCATATGATGAGAGAAAATCAGAAGTAGAAAAAAAGGAGGGAAAAAAAATTCCCATCTCCTTATCCCTGCAACATTTACTAACTGGACATATTATTTTCTGCTGAATGCAGCAAAGTCCTAACAAATATAAATTGATCAGAATTGTCATGTGATTAATCAGCTTGACATCCCCATTCAGACAATGAATGGCATGACTGGCAGAGATTGAGTATTGATTATCTCATTATTCTGCCATCAAGTCTGACTGTACTGGTTGGACTGAATCAAGATTTAGCATTTTTTTTAATTATCAAAAGAAATTATTTAACAGTTCAGCAAACCACTCTATAAAAATAGTATTTCAGCCTGAGTGACAAAGTGAGACCCTGTCTCACAGAAAATAAATAGTATTTGATATACCAGTTTTGAACTTTTTAAAAAATTAACTAATTAGTAGAAGCATAAAGTCTCAGAATTAAAAGGGACTTTAGCTACCTGTACCATGAGTCCCTCACATTAGTAACTAAGGAATCCAAACATTTTTAAAAGCATCTAGCCTAGGTGCTGTGGCTAACATTCATAATCTCAGCACTTTGGGAAGCCAAGGCAGGAGGCTTCTTTGAGCCCAAGAGTTTGAGACTAGCCTGGGCAACACAGTGAGACTCCCACCTCAAAAAATAAAATAAAATAAAAAATAAAAGTATCTTCCTCGATTTTGCTAATAGCTTTTTTTTTTTCCTGAAAAGGTTTCATGTTAATAAAGAATGCTGGTGAAAACAGCAATTTAAATGAATTATTGGAAATTATACCATGTAGAGTATACAGGGCATCAGAAAGTGAACCTATCACCCTTCTAGATTTAATTATAGCAAATTTTGGGTTAACTTCTGAATTTATAAAACTTTATTCTACTTATTTAGAAGCACTCATTTTCTAAATGAAACCCCATTGTTTGTCTTTTTGTTATTCTATTTAGTTCAGCATAGTCTCACTTATTTTAAGAAAAAAAAAATAGGCAGAAGCTAGGCATTCATTTTTCATTGTAAAAAAAAAAACAGGATTTTACTGACACTTGGGTTTGTATCCAAGTATCCCAAGCCTCCGGAACCTAGATGACTTCCCCCGAAAGCCATGTTTTGTCTCTCCCATGCCCTGTCAATCACTGGTTTGTATGTGGCTATGAACTGGGCGGGCAGAAGGTCTGTCATGAGGCTAGAAAAAGATGAAGGTGGAAGTCTAACTCATCTTTAGCATCCAGCATCCTGAGTTTATGACCACACCCACCTCTGTTGACTTAAGCTGGAAAAGGTAAAACCAGAAAGCTAAAATAAGGCTAAAAACAACAGGAAGTGGGCAATCCAGAGTTAATGTTCAAATAACTCCGCCTGCTTGTGAGCACAAGCCAGCCAGGGGAACTGCCTCTTTGAAATGACCACACTGGAACCAAATTTATGAGGTTCTGCATATTTAAATTGGTCCCTGCCCCTCCCAATTTCCAATAGCAAAGTGACAGAAGTTCTCTGAGAGAGATTGTTCACATGGTGAATTTAGCTGTATCAGAAAGGAAAGCTCAGAAATCTCTTGGGAAAGCGTTTGTTATCGTGGGATTTAAGAGCTTTAAAATTTTTCAACTTCTGGATGTTGTTTGGTGACAGAATGCCAGCTAGAAAGCCATGGTCTTTGACAGTCTGTGAAAACATGTATATTCATGGACACAAGGGAATTTACTCAGCAGGTTGTAAAGAGCATAACTTTATCCCTTCTTAAAATCCATCCAGCAAGAACAGGCTTTCTAGCCATCTCCTCATTAATTGATAACAAGTATGCAATTTCATGAATGTCAGCTATTTAGCTCTGGAATAGAATCTGTGAGAGACATCCACCAGTTCAAGGAGAACTGACACTCATAGAAGGAAAAGCTACAGGTCAGGATTTGCACACAGGAAACAGAACAAACTGATACATCTTTTTGGCCACACTAAATGTATCACTGTAATTTGTTGAAACCACATGATCACTAGTTATAAGACTTCTCACTAGGAGATATGGAAATGAAGAAAGTCACCAATTTTTGAGTAAATGAAACATGTCAAGACAAGAAGACATTATTTAGAAGAACCAGCCACCTCAGTTGTAACCACAAAATCATCAACTAAATTGTACAAGGCCATCACTCTTTCTGCCTCGCTACTCCAGCCAACAGTTAATTCCCTCCATTTCCTCCCTGTCTAAAATAAGAATTGATGAGCCAAGGCTTACTGGTCAAGTCTAGCCTGCCACCTGTTTTGATATGGCTCATGGGCTAAGAATGGTTTTATGTTATTCAATAGTTGAAAAACAATCAAAAGAAGAATATTTTGTGACACATGGAAATTACATAAAATTAAAATTTTAGTGTTCATAAAGAAGGTTTTGTTGGAATCCAGTCATGCTTGCTCATTTACTTACTATTTATGGCTGCTTTTCACACTGCAACAGCAAAATTGAGTAGTTACAGCAGAGATCATATAGCCTGCAAAGCCTAATATTTACTATTTAGCCTTTTATAAGCAAAGTTTGCCAACCCTGGGTTTAAAATAACTGGTTACAAGGGGAAGGTTCTGCTTTCTTAAAAATAACTGTGAAGTTGAGATTAAATATGCTTGAAGCCCAATTTTAATTTGGTAGATTTTGTAAAAGCTGTCTCTATCTCCCTGTGTTATGAAGAGCCTAAAGGGTAGGATATTAATAAATCAGATTTTCTTCAGCCAAGATTTTGCCTATTATATGAGCAAGTACCCATGAAATCAAGAAGCCTTAGTTAAAGTCTGAAGTTCTGTACCTTACTACTTCTCTGACCTTGAACAAGCCATTTGCCACAAATCATGGCACACTTGTGAGACATTACAAATAAAAGCACCTTGTGAATTACAAATGACTATAAAGAAGTATTCCATTAGTATAAGATTATAGTCTTTAATATGTTATACTCTGTAAGTAAACCCGCACCTAAAGGATTATGCTGATTATTATCACAAATAGATGGCTCAGTAGCAACAATCACTAATAGGAACATAGGAATTGATTACATATAGAGAATCTCTTATCAATGAACAAACTCAAATTTACCTGGAAGCATCTGTAGCATTCCTCTAATTTATCTCACTGATCTTAATTTATCTCACAACAATCTAAATAAAAATCTTTTGTAGAAATACTGTTATCTATTCCACCAGGTGCCTTCTAAATTCTAAGACCCAAGTCTAAAATGCCAGATCTCCATGTTTTATTTTTAATGTCTTTTGTTTTCAGACTGATGGAGGATCTCCTCACTTCCTCTCATACCACTTCAAAGGGCATTGACAGCTAACAGCAAGAGAGAAATATTAATTACTCTGGCTGCCTTCAATGAGGAAACAGGTTGAAAATAAATCAAAACTCTTTCTTTTGCTACTGGCTTCACCTTTTTCCTGCTTGTAAGGCTTAACCCTTCCTCTTAACCTTCACCTTTCATCTTAACCTTGACCCAATGAGACTATCTGTAGAATGTGTGGAATTTGTTACTGGTTCCTGCCACAACTTAACCCAAAAGTAAACAGAAATTCTGCATTACCCCTACCAGCCCAATTTCTCTAGCAAAGAGGGGTAATGTCAAGAACAAAAAATCCCACAATTACTTACTTAGTAAATACAAGATGGTACCATTCCCCCTGAACTCCTACCAGTACAACCCCAGAGTAAACACACTACTGAAACAAACAAACAAAAAAGCACTATATAAGGCCTGGGAATCAAATTGATCTGGGTCCCAGTCCACCATTAACCAGTATGTAAACTTGGACCTCACTGTAGACTCCTTACCTACTAAGCTTCCATTCTGTAGGCGAAAAATACGGATAATCATATCTACCTCGTAAGTTTGTTGTAATGGTTAGTTAATAAGATAATGTATATAAAGTTCTTAATAATGGCTAGCTTACAGTAAATGCTCAACAAATGGAACTCATATATACTAAAAAGTGGGCCACATACATGTGAGATATGGGGGAAACAAAACAGTAGGACAGAAGATGACTTTATAAAAATGGAATATTGCACACAATTTAAAATTTCTCCTACAGCCAAAAAAAAAAAAAANAAAAATCAATCCAAAGCTCTAGTGCATGTTCATTAATTATACTACAACAAACTTCTAAGACTTTATCAAGATTGTATAACTTTATTTTTTTAATCTTGATTTTCTATTTATATGAATTTTAGATGAATGGAATTTACATGTAAACATATAGTTAAGTTAAACAGCCTTGAATTAAGCAGCAAATACAAAATCATAAAAACTAAACATTTTAGAGCTACAAAACCTTTTTGAAATTAATGTTTAAAACCATTTCAGAAAAAAAAAGTCCTCAAAGAAAACATGGTCTTTCTTTTGTGAAAGGAATGAGGGATGGGAGGATGTTCTTCTCTTGTAGTGATTTGGTTTATGGTACAGGATTTCAAATCCAGCCAACAGAAAGCTTTTACATTACAGACACCCAAGCAGTTTGGTACTTCTTTGTAATTCTTCTTAAAAGGAATTAGGAATGTACAAGCCTTCCTTAGTAGAATGAATTATGTTCAATAAGAGATAGGAATAAAGCAATTACATAATCAAAACATCAAAATATATTTTGTTTTATGATAACATTATGTAAAAAAAAGATAAAAAATTTAACATAATCCCAAAGTGTTCTAAAAACAAGGGAAAAATAGAAAAATATACACTGGAAAGTGTTCATCAATCAGTTGGGTATTCGTTTAAAATAATTTTAATTTTGCTCATTGTGTGTTTTTAATACTTTTAAAACATGCTGCAATAAGCATGTGCTACTTCTGTAAATAAAAAAGCCAACATAAACAGTATTTCAAAGAGGTACACAAGACTTTTGCCCAACATTAAACCATATTCAGAACAGGTCAGAATCTATCCTTTTTTTTGAAAACAAAGTTTCTCTAGAAAAATTCTGATTCTGAATTTTAAAAATCTTTCTCATTCTCCTTTTTTTTTTTTTTTTAAAAAATGCAAAATTTCATTCCCTTCAACTTTTTTTTTTTTTTTTTTTTTTTTTTTTTTTTTTTTTTTTTTTTTTTTTTTTTTTTTTTTTTTTTTTTTTTTTTTTTTTTTTTTCTTGAGACAGGGTCTTGCTCTGTTATAGGTTGATGTGATCACGGCTCAGTGCAGCCTTGACCTCCTGGGCTCTAGCAATCCTTCCACCTCAGCCTCCCGAATAGCTGGGACAAGAGATGTGCACCATTAAGTCCAGCTAATTTATTATTTTTTTTAGAGAGATGAGGTCTCCCTATGTTGCCCAGGCTGGTCTTGAACTCCTAGGCTCAAGCAATCTCCCACCTTAGCCTCTTGAAGCACTGGAATTACAGGCATGAGCCACCACACTGGCCCTCTTCAACTTCTTTTCTCATTTTATTTTTTACCTTCTTCTGTTTTGTATCTTCTTTACCTCTGAAAGCACCCACCAGCATCATCAGATAAATTTGCTACCACACTGGCTTTCTCCTTGACTAGTGACCTCCTGACTGTTCAACGTCGGCATTAATTATTTGAACAGCTACAGGGCCAAGACAGCAGTCAGCAGAGAAGTCTAGAGATGAAAGCTGAGACAGACAGAGTTAGAGCTGGTAACTAATAAAGCTTTGTTCCCAAGGAGACAAGAGGAAGCAGGCCCAGTGGTCTCAGGAGCATAGATCAAAAGGAGAACCCTGGATAAGAAGTAAGGTTGGATACTCTTGAAACAGTGTAAGAAGAGAGTAAAGATGATCTTGACAGCATTAAGAATCAGTGCTTCTGACTTTTTCTTTAATAGGAGGCAAGGTCATCTGTTAATAGTTAAGAAGAGACGAGTTTGGAAAGGGTTTTGGGAGAGCGAAGGTATGAAATAATAGGTTATAAGTGCAGTAAGCAAGACATCTATTCAAGGCCAAGTAAAAAGAGTGCTGAAGAGTGCCAAGGATTCAGCTGCAATTGGAAACCCATCCTTTTAGCCACCTCTCTCCACAGTTAAGCAGAATTCTCCAGCAAGTTTGTAAGCAGATGGTCAATTTCTTTCCATCCCCCATTTTCTCTTATGTATTACCACCTGAAATTTGCTTCCTTCTTTCCCTAACCAGCCTGCACTCCAAGTTCCATCACTTGTAATGCTTAGCAGCCAACATCCTCAAATCCTTCTTCCCTTCTTCTCTTTCTGTGGTTTCTGCTTTGCAATTCTCAAACCCTGGGTCAATCAGAATAGAAGATGGGAGTGTTTAATGTTTATACTGAACCTTAGAAAATTGCCATTTTTATAGGTCAGCCATGGTTAAATATCGGGAAATTTACTGAGGGATGGAAGGATGGAATTACCAGTTTCAGAATGCTGAGAGATTTGTATCTCTGTGTGAGTGCTTGGACCTGGCTGACACTTCCTGGAGGCATCAGGACTTAGTTAAGGGCAGCTGGTCGGGTCAGTATATCTGGAGGTCTCCCCTATTTCAGCCCGGAGAAAGAAAAGTTCTCAAGCCTGATTAGGTCTCTAGCAGGAGGCCTACTCTAATATTTCATATTTTGTATTATTTTTTTCCTGGACAGGCATAGCATAAAGTTGTCAAGGATACAAACAAAATTCAAAACAAAAATGATGGAAGAAAAGGGTTTCAGAGGAGCAAGTTTAAAGAAAAGGAAGAAAAAAATCCACACAACGAGGCCTTGATTAGAAATGCCAAATGTAGCAATTGTTTTAACTAAAAATAAAGACAAACTATCAAAACAGATGTTTTCTCATTTAAAGCCCAGAACTTCATTTTTGATCTCTTCTGTAAGTTCTCAGTCATCCTTTCCCTTTAAAAATAGACTATTATCCTCTCATCTAGGCCCATAGTTGTACTGTGTCAATACTGAATGTCTGAAGATGACTGAAACTACCTTAACTTGAAAGTTTTACCTTGGAGAAATTAGGAGAAGCTTGACAGAGAAATGCTCCCAATGTCTACAAGGGAGATTAACATGCAGATTAATATAATGAAGAAATGCCTCTTAACTCTTCAGACATCAACTGAAATTAATCATTTGGTGACAATTGTCAGGTACTATAATTTGAGTAAGGACTAAATGATAACATAATAAATAATATTAATAGAAAAAGCTTTGCTTATATCAATGATAACATCATAAATAACTTTTGCTAAACACTTGGAAAACATTAATTTATTCTATTCAGAAAACTGAGACTCAGAGAGGTGGGTGGTCTTGCTCATGGTCAACCAGCTAGTAATCGCTATGATTAGAACCTTGGTCAACCGACTCTAAAGCTGATGCCCGTTCCTATCTCACTACCTGACAACTACTGGGCATGACTCTGTGACAGTAAGGCACCCTAAAGAATAAGATGGGTCTTCTAAAAACTGGAATTTCACTGGAAATTCTAGAGGAGAGGAAGAACGTCCCAGTGCCTTTCTTAAGCCAGAGACATTTTTCCCCTCTAAAAACCATCATGGCCAAAATCTAATTATTATAAAGTATCTGCAGAAAATTAAAAATAGAAACTCACAAGGACCCTGCTAATGTTCTAAAGAAGGAAGCTTCAATGAGAACCAGGAGAGCAGAACCCCTATAGTGAGCTATCAGGAAATTAATGGGAGACACAGCCTGTCTAATTTTCATGCAGGCAAACACCATCACAAACGCTTTCAAAGGTCAAGTTGCAGTGAGTGAGGTAATGCTGTTTGGAGAGTGAAATAAACATTGCTTTTGCTCTAAGATTTTTTTTCCCAATTTTTGTTTTCCTTTTCCTTCTCTCAATTTTAATTTTTTTCCCCTCTTTTAAATCAGAATTGTTCTCATCACCTTCATTTTGCCCAGTCTCTGTGAAAAACGTTTTGTAGCCTCCTTTCAGCCTGCAGATTTTCTCAAGACCCTTCTGCTCAGGCAGACACTATTTTCTTATAAAGCTGGAGAGTTTTAGAGAGTGGAAAATGACGTTGGATTTGATTTGGCAGAACCAAGGGGGCAGAGAAGGTAAGAGAGGGGGAGGGAAGGGAAGGAAGAGTCTCCTGTCAAAATAATCCTGATTTTTAACCAATAACATGGTACAAATTAAGCATTTTCATAGATAGTCTTAACAGTTTTACAAGATTTTTTTTTTCTCTTTTTGAAAATGTGCTTTCAACAGTCATGCTGTTTTCAGATGAACTGAAAGAAGTACTGTGTTCAGAAGGTACAAGGATGGGCTATAGCATATGACTGGACAGATACAAAAGCTGCTTTATTTAAATGTATGTTTGCCCTGGCAGGAATGTGGAGACCTACCTGTACATAATCCACACTTCGTCCCAGTGCTCTGAAGGCTGTGTACATGACTTCTCTTTTTCCACCCCATTTTTGCATGATGCAAATACTTTTGTTGGACAAGACCAATTGCGTTACGTGCTGTGAGCTTTCTTTATGTGACTCATCCGTCTCACCGGGACCCTTTTCGTGGAAGTTGTTCTTCCAGATATAAGTGGCGGATTTGTCTCTGCCCATGACTTCACTGAAGATGTCCATCATGTAGAGGTCATCTTCTGAGTTCCCATCTATGACCATGACAACTTTAATCCCAGGGTAGGTTAGCCTTTTCACAGATTGCAAACATTTCCTTAAGTAGTCTGGATCTTCTTGATAGGCAGCGATGCAAAGGGCAACTGTTTTGTTCAACTTTATGGGGGTTTCTAGGGATTTTTTCATTTTTCGGTGCTCCAAAAAGGCAAACAGGCTTTGGATGATGAGGTGTGATGCCAAAAAGGCACCGTACAGTCCAAAAGAGAAATAGTAATTATCCGTTTGGATAAACTGGTAGCCAACAATATAAGCAGCTGTGATTCCAAGGAGGAGAGAGACTCCAAAGAGTGTGGTTCCAATGATTCTCAGGATACATAGAAACCTCTCACAATGCATCTGTAATATAATCAAATGATATTCTTTGTTAACCGTGATTGTCCCACACTTGTTATATACCTAGTATCCTGGAGAGAGCATTGGACTAGAAGCATTCAGGGGTTTTGACACTCAGTCTCTCACCTAGCTCATTGGGTGACTTTCTGCAGTTTGCTCATCTCCAAAATACGGATAAGTATGCCCTTCCAGCATATCTCAGAGGCTTATTTCAAGAGTCAAATCAGATAATGGTACAGGATACCATAATGTATTAAACCATAATGTATTAAACCATAATGTATCAATCAAATGCTGCATATGTTGCTTTAATGTGTTAGATCACTTAACTAAGGCTGCAGTCTATATACGTGGTCATAGCCAGGCATGGAACCTAAAGTTTCTAACACCCAAAGTAGTCATTCTTCCATATAGTCCCCTCACTCCTTGATATTGGCCAATGAAAAAATCCACTGGAAATTTTGCTAAATTTCTCACGTGTAATTTAATCTCACCTCCAATGCGTATTACTCAACTTACATCCTTTCCATGCAGCCAGCTGAAATTGGAGATCAGAGTACAGGATTCTAGTACTAGCTCATTAACTAACTGTGTGAACTTGGGTGAATCACCATACCTCTCTGGGCCTCAGTGGTTGTTTATTTTTTAAAATATCTGTTAAATGAGGGATTTTAGAATTGATTATTTGTGAACTCTCCACTGATACTAAAAATCTTCCATCCCTAAGTACCCTGCATAGATATCTATCAAAGCCCCCATAATTCTGAATTATACTCCTTTGTTCCAATGTCTGTCTCTTCCATCCACCATCACCAATACTAGCTGATTAGATCCTAAGCATCATGAACCTTACTGGAACCCAGTAAACACAATAAATGTTTGTAGAAATAGTGAATAAATTAAAGGACAAATAACATCATGATTTATTTCAGCAAGTGAGTTTCCAGCCTATTAGAAGCTGTAGCACATAGGCCGGGTGCAGTGGCTCACGCCTGTAATCCCAGCACTTTGGGAGGCCAAGGCGGAAAGATCATGAGGTCAGGATTTCGAGACCATCCTGGCCAACATGGGGAAACTCTGTCTCTATTAAAAATACAAAAATTAGTTGGGCGTGGTGGCATGCTTGTAATCTCAGCTACTTCGGAGGGTGAAGCAGGAGAATCTTTTGAACCCAGGAGGCGGAGGTTGTGTTGAGC